GATAGATAGATAGATAGATAGATAGATAGATAGATAGATAGATAGATAGATAGATAGATAGATAGATAGATAGATAGATAGATAGATCTATATATATATATACCTATATATAAAAGTTTAAATGATAGTCTCTTAGTCTTTAGGAAATTATAAATCTAGAGGGAAAGAAAGATAATCTGGAAAACAGAACATTATTCTAATATGGTGGTGTAAGTGTTATGGTTTGGGGCTGCTTTGCGTTTTAACTCTTTATGATAAGGTACCTGTGTTGGTCACTTGTATAGGCTTCCCTTACAAATGGAGTACCCCCTCTTATCCACTGCACCACCCCAAAACCCCACCCCACCCTATCCATCCCATCCGTCAGTGATGTCTAGAAGCCAAAGATTTATACCAAGCCAATCAGCAAAGATATTACGATGTGGCTGTACATGTCATTTTGGCATTTGACCAATTAAATGAGCCCTTGGATAATCTGTTACCTACTGTAAATTAAGTTTAAAGTAAATTAATACCGGTAAGTTAAATTTTAAAATTAATAAGCTAATTGAAAGTTAAACAGTAAAGTTAAAATGTAAATGAGCTCAGTTAAAAAGATAAAACATGTATGTGCCTGTATCAGCATTAATGCTCTACGGTTATTTTGTAACTCATAAAAGTGTTTCTTTCACTCGCTGAGTGTCTTTCCTGAATATTTTTATAGCAGCACTTTTTTAGTTGTTTTGTTTTTTAACTGATTAGGGCAAATAACTTTTTCTTGTTATTACATTAACATTGATTTTTGCAACCAAGATATACATATTTTTTTAAATGCTACAAAAAGTAATAAGGTCTTGTTCTCCACCACAATAAAACCCTTAGCTTGAATTTTTTATTTTAAAAATATTTCACTAAGTGCCCTATAAAGGGTTAAAACGGGTTAAAAAGGGTTGATTCAACTTTATGTCTTGTTTTAGATCCAAATGCCTTGTTATGTGCACTTGGTATAAATTCTTACCACATATTCCTGTGTGCCGTAGGGTTTGAGTCTGCAACAAAGTGGATCCCTTCTGTAGATTGCAACCACCAGCATCAGTACCACTAAACAGAAGACTGCACAGGACACTGAGATCAAGCAAAGACACAGACGGCTTTAACAGAAAGAAAAGTATGATGCATAGCTCAGCCATAGTACAAATGTAATGCTAAGCTCAATTTTGTTGCAACTGTAATTATTCTTTGTGGATTTCATAGATATATCTGAGGTTTTCTCACATCAGTGCAACAGATACAGAAAGTTTCCTTTTTAATCTTTAGGAACTTGACCTCTTACATGCTAAAATTGCATTGCTGCAGATTTTCAGAATGATTCATCCAGGTCAGTCAAAGAGGATCATAGAAGATAAAATATATTACCTTTAGTTTTTCCTTTGTTTTTTTGTCCTATATAGAGTAATCTGTCCCTAATGTTAAATATGGAAATTAAAAAATGAGAAAACTAAACTGCTTTAAACTTTTCAAAATGACAAAAAATAGTTTGGTAATTCTATGATCTATCATTCTGCAACCAACACTGTAAATCTGAGCTCATTTTTTTAGGGTTAAACAAGGCTCCTTTTAGCTTAAAGCAGGAGGGTCCGAGTGATCCAGAAGATTCCTGCATCATATCCTTCTCCCTTCATATTTATATGTCCACAGAAATGAAGAACGGATTCCAAGAAAAAAAGACTAACCTGAGGCCAAAATGACAGTCAGCAGATCTGAGTCCATGGCAAGAGTCTGTGTTTGAGCCAGAAGCAAGAAAAAAAAAAGAGAAAACAGCTTTAGTTTCTCTGTTCTGCCAGTTTGTTTCTTGCCTACATCACAAACTTTAAAAAGGATCCCTGGTTTCTACAAGGAAACAGTCTCTATGTTTTTTTTTTACTGTACTTTTTGTTAGATTAACAAGTGAGTAAATATTAACTCCATGTGGAGAGAGAGGGTGAGTCCCCTTCCCCCTGGGGGAACAGAACATAATTTGAAGCTGAGTCTTTTGCAAACTCTAGTGGTAGATTGTGGAAGGACTGAAAGCAAGAGTGCATTTCCACAGTAACAATAACATTAAAGGATCGCGAATATTTTTTTCAATTAATTTTGGGTGTTATTATTGATTTATAAATTTCCTGGAAGTCAAATGTTTATGGTTTAGAAACAAAAATAGCTCAAAAGATTGTTGCATAATATGAAGCCAAATATTTCTTTAATAAAAATGCATGTGATTTGAAGTAGAATCTCTGAATAAAATCTGTTATTCTTTGAATTACAGTTATTAGAATGTGTTGATTTAGTTCATTGTAGTTTTTTTAAACTGATGTACGAAGCCCATATAACATGTTATCTGTCATGATAGATCCGATAGTTGATTCTATTACTCACTTCATTCACCTGCTGTCCCTCCCCACTCTCTAATTATCATCATTATTGTTATTCACCTGCTCCCCCTGCTATATATTAAGCCCAGCTATCGGGGCCAGATCAGTATTCTTAGTTTTGTCCTGATAGCTGACCTTAATTGTTCGTTTCATTCATCTGCTTAACTCTGCCCGGTTCCTAACCATTCATTATCTTATCCACTTGCGTCTGCTGCTTTATATTCGGCTCAGGCCAGCTATCAGGGCCAGATCATTGATGATCTGTTTCGTTAGTTTGGTTTATTCCAAGGTTCATGTCCTCGTCCCTGGAGGCCAGTGGGTTGAGAGGATTTTGGTGTTTGTCTTGTCTCCTGATCCTGTCCTGGCCCCTACTGTAGGTGGGAATACAGTTTTAGGTCCTGTAAGCCTGGCTCCTATGTGGAGACCAGTTTAAAGTTTTGCAGTTCTCCTGGTACCATGTCTTGTCTCTGTCCCTCAAATGCTCAGCCTGCCTGTCTGCATCTGTGCGTTTCTGTCTGAGCTCGTTGCTCAACACATGGAACTCTGAACCTGCCTTTATGCTCTGTGGATTCCTGGAACCCCGATCTGTCTGTTTCTCTGTGGATCGGAACCCCTGACCGGGCTTCAGACTCCTGGATTCCAGAACTGTTCCTGTCTGATCAGTATCCTGACCTGGACCAGATTCCTGCCTGCTTAATAAGGTTGGTACAGCTGGGATACTTTGGGCAGCACTGCACTGCAGCTTGTTTGGCAGTCCATCGGCTGGATCCTGGCTTCCTCGGAGAGGATTGACTGAACTGTTAAACCATTTAAGTGACTTACTCGGATAATCATCTCCTGTCAGATGATTGTGGTCACTTACCGGTGTTCTCCCGCCAGAGTGTCATGGATTGGGTTGTACCCCGCTCCCCCACTGTAGCCGCTGCGGTCCGCAGATCCACAGCTCCGTATTTTGTTTTCCGTCTGTGTGTAAATAAATGTTTTGAACTTTCTCACAGTCTGTCTCACCTTGAATACTGGGTCCATCTATCCCATTCATTACAGTAATATTCAAAATACATTTGAAAAAGTGTAAAGTAAATGTGCTTTAAAAGGATAGTATTTATGAAGTATTTTTTAAACTAATGCTTATAACTAAACAACTGGAGTGATATGTTTCTGTGTATGGAGTCAGTTTATAGAATAGGCTGGAAAAATAAATTAAAATAAGCCCAATAAGTTACTGTGTTTAAAAAAACATGTAAGACACAATGTTATGAAAATCTAATAAACTGCGTCATATTGTATTAGTTCTTGGTGCTTGATTTTAACATTTACAATTTAAACAAAGCGTGAAATGCTAGACATATTCACATGACTGTAAACCATCCGCTGGTCGACCTGCATCTGAATATGTTTCAGCATTTATCACTTAAAGTTATTATTGATTTAACTTTTTGTGTAAGATAATAATAATAATAATAATAATAGTAATGTAAGATTTTTTTCGTTCTGCTCCTATTCATTCATATGTTTTGAGTTGCATTTATCTATCATGGGAATGATTTTTTTTTTTTTTTTTATATTATCAAAAGATAAATAAATCAATATTGAGGGAAATTACTATATGAATTTTCATGGGATCCTCAATTCTGGTTAACGGGCTGAAATGTTTGGGAACCAAATGTAATAGTAAAGGGAATCCATTCTTGAAAAGGAATAAGTTCAAAAAGGTATTTCCATAACCTTCTCTCCCCCATTCATTCTAATATCCACATTAAGTACACAATGCCCCCATCCTCCGCCCATCGCGTCAAACGTCGTGCGTGTAAACCATCACGACACGTCTTTTTTTTTAATGTTAAGTGATGTGGAATGTGATTCACTCCTAAGGAGGAGCTAATTTAGGAGCGTGGACAGCCCGGAGGAAGAGAGGACTGGTCGGTGTGCGCAGTATCTCAGCTCTTTCTTCTCCATATTCCGGATCCTTAAAGGTCTTCTACAGGCACAGCAGGGGATTCAGGATGGAGCGGATGGAGTCAATGGAGCCGATCTCGGCGAGCTACACCACCGCTTACCCGGAGATCAAGCCCGACAGCGGCTACGGCTCCGGAGAAAACACGGAGAACCAGGCGAAGACCCCGACTTATGATGAAGACCTGGTGCACAAGGTAAAGAAAGCTTTATGGCGAAAATATTTCTCCCTCTTTTTGTTTACGTATTTTGTTTTGTTTTCTTTTGTGTTTGCTTGTTTGTTTCCCAATTGGTCATTTTTTCCTTAAAATTAAGTATCATCGCCTCCGTTTCAAGCTTGGCGCTCTCCATGGTGCTGATCCCCACTTTGATGCAGTTTCTCTGGAGTTGGTGACTCTTCAGATTCGCACAGACATTAGACCTCAAAATATTATCCTTCTTCTAAAGGGGAAGCTGTCAGTTTAATGTTCATATACAATAAAGGGAGGATTTAGATAAGACTCCTTCTATAAAAATCACAAGTTATGATAAAAATAATAATACAAAATTTACAAAACTACATAAGCCTATTTAAGTGCAGTGGGAAAAAAAAGAAAACAGGTAAAACAACTGACGAAAATTGCATGAAAAACCTTATTACGTTCTCTTTCATTCTTCCCACTCAAGATCCCACTGAACTATACTAGTTGTATTAGCCTGTGGTTTTATAGTGCAATAAAACACTTCCCTCCAACTGGCTTAAGGACCATCTTGTCATTTGAGTGAATATAAAGAAAAAAAGTCCTTCTAGGCTCCAGTTAAATGTCACCTTAAGTTTAAAAGCTCTGTTGCAGAAACATTCTGTCTTGGAGCTAAATTAAATGCCTTTAGCTGTCTTCATTCAGCACCACATGACTTCCTTCACACACCACGCCATATACAGTAAACCCAACATCTCACTGACTGGATGTGGTGTCCTTGCACTTAATGCACTCTTTCTGAGAGATGTACATGTTTCTGAGGGATATGCTTTCTGAAAAGTGGTCAAATTAGACACTGTATGTTAACCGAATGCACTTTGACTAAATGTGTCTAATGACCTCCGCAGCTGTGTGTGTAGGAGTGTGTTCGTGCATGATTCACTGTGTTTCTCCGCTGGCTAAAACTGCATTAAAGCACAGTACTGTTATCAGTTAAAGTAAAGCTGTAAAAAGATCCATCTAAAATCACTTTATCTCAATTGTATCCGCAAACTGACTGCTAAATTAATAAGGGCTGGATGTGCTTGTCATATATTAACAATGGGGACCACTACAAACATACATGCAACTATCATGGTATTGCATCCTATGTCATAGAGTGTGACATTTAGGTTGTTTATTTCCTGTGAATTTACAAACTGTCATATTAAGGTGCTTTACAAAAATGAGAAAGGTCCATTTGGCACACACAAATACAGACACTTTGAATCAAAGTTTTTTTCTGTGTGAAAAAGATGAAATGACACTTGCAGCTACATTTCATGATCATCTCTACCAACAAGCTGAAAGGTTTAGATGCACTAATGAAGGAAAGATGGAGGAAGTACAAAGATTGTCATGATGGGGTTTAGGTGTCTAACCCAAAATGCAGAAACACTCACTGAAAACCGGGGGAAAGTTAAGTGATTTATTTAAATATGTACAATGGTGAAAATACAAGGGTTCTGGGTTCAGCGGCCTGGTCACAGGAGGAAACTAAACTGTACAGAAGGGGATTCTGATCTGCAGGGGGTGGGAACCCTGTGAGTCCAGAGGCTTATCGGCAGGCAGTGGGCTGAGGGCTAGGCTGAGACGGAGACAGAATGCAGGCAGGCAGGTTTCTGGCTGAGAGAAGGGATTCAGATCTGCAGAGGGGGAACCTTGAGAGTCCTGAGGCTTTTCGGCAGGCTGAGGGCTGAAGCAGAGACTGAGGCTGAGTGCAGGCAGGCAGGTTTCTAGCTGAGTGAAGGGATTCAGATCTGCAGAGGGGGAACCTTGAGAGTCCTGAGGCTTTTCGGCAGGCTGAGGGCTGAAGCAGAGACTGAGGCTGAGTGCAGGCAGGCAGGTTTCTAGCTGAGTGAAGGGATTCAGATCTGCAGGGGGAGAACCTTGTGAGTCCAGAGGCTGGTTGACAGGCAGAGGACTGAGGTCTGAGGCAGAGACTGAGACTGAGTGCTGGCAGGCAGAATCCAGGCATGGGCAGAGGCAGAGACTCAGACTTAGTGCAGGCTGGCAGATTCAAAGCCATGGTTTCTCTCTCCAGAGTTTTTCTGGTTTTCAGGCGAGTCAGGATCTGAGAGACAGGGAGAAACAGGGTCAGACAGGTTTCACAAAAGACAGGGTCTTAAATCAGGCAGGCTGGCTCAGATTCTGCTAACCATTACTGGCAAACACTATGGCACCGGAGTGTCAGTCTCCTCCTCCTTAAGTAGGAGTCCTCTTGATGAGCAGATGGAAGACAGGTGTTGCAGGTGAGCACAAGCCCTCAGGAAGGGATCCTCTGCGCCCTCTGGTGGGCAAGCCTCCGGATTCCAACAAAGATGGAGGAAAGGAAAGGAGTGCGGATACATTTTGAGCTTTCCTTCAGATTTTTTTGGTAAAAAAAAGTTGATTCACATTTTTTTTATTAATAAAACAAGAATGAGCCAAAATGAGGTTGGATTTGGTTCCAACTGTGAAAATCAGTCTGTCGAAGAAGATTGCAAACATGAAAATTACAAAGTGCTTCATAGTAAGCTACAATATGAGCCAACAACACCAAAACAAACCTACGCAAGCCAGTAAATGGAACTTACAATTCAAAGGATACATGTGGAAGAATAAAGTGGTCCAAATGTCTGTTTTATCATAGAGCAGCGTTTTTATGGTTAGTTTTTGATTTCATGTCTGTCTTCATTTTACTGAAAAAACTTTCTAAAAGTCTCATTCCTTGACAGAGAGTAGGGACTCTCTAGTGACCCTTTCTGTTCCCCTCACTATCCTCTGCAGGGCCTGAATAATATTTTCATGATGCTGGAAGTCATTAGTAAATGTTTGAGGCTCCTCTCAAAGTGCAGTTTTAGTTTGGTTGCATGGTTGAGACCACGAATCCACAAATGTCCTCTCTGTTCTGTTTTATTTCATACCAAATTATTGGACTGATTTCAGGGATGTAATTGGTTCATACATAGAGATCCATGGAGAAAAAAATATCAAAAGCATTTTCATCAAACTTTGTTGATCAAACTTTCTGGTACTTGAGAAGAGGTGGCAATAATGAGCTAATTACTGAATTAGAAGATGAGGAGGAGAAAAAGTGGGAGAAACTGGATCAGGATTTCCACAGTAATAGTCCAAATGTGTGGGTGGGAGGAAGATTAAGTGATGTCTCACATCCTTTTGGACATTATGGAGACCTGTTGATGTCATGCTATGCATGATATTTGGATAAATAATATATGAAGATATAAATCTATTAAGAAACAGGTCGGTTAAGAAAATTGCTGTTAGTCACACTTTTGGAAAAGTACCTCTGCAGATCATACAGCCTTTAGTTGTTAGGATTTTTTTATTAAATTCGACTGTGATCGTATCATTATTGCATTTTTTCGTTGAATGCTATATAAAGGCTCCAGGGTTGAATCTATGCTATCCTATTTCAGTTAGGGCTCCTTTATCTGTTGATGCACTAATACTGAAGCCACACTTATTTCCTATGTGGCCTCAGCAGGTGCATTCAATAGCAAATTATAGTAAAGCCAGCTGTTGTTTTTCTGAAGAGGCAAGGCCAGTAATTACAAGTCAGCCAGTCTGCCAATGTCGGCCTGCATCCTTCTATAAGTCCTATTTCTGGCTCTCATATGCACTGACTTTTCCCCAGAAAATATATATTCTTTCCTTTCCCTCTGACTCACTCACTTTCCCTCTGAGAAAGTTTTTCTCGATGAAAGTTTTTTGTTATTCATTTACTTAAATAAAGAATAAACCTCCAATGTTAGATGAATGATTATAGAAAATATTCATTTTTAACTCTGTTAACTTTGATGATTGTGTTTAAGTGTTTAGCGCCCTTCTGATTCCTTATTCTGTCTGTGTATTTTATCTTTATATTTTTACCTTAAGGATGTATGTCCTTTTGTATTTTGTTGGTGTGAATTAGGCCCCTTTCCTCGGTCCCTGCTCTTCACTCTTACCCCAGCTGTTCTACATCCCTTTTGGTTAGTCTCCTTGGTTTCTAAGTGCTTCTTCACTCTCCTCCAGTTTTAAGCTCTTTGTTTTCCTTTGTTCAGTGCTGGTAGCATATTCAATTATGGCCAAGGTTCGATGTCATGTTCTTCTTGTGCAATATTTGTTCTTCGGTTCTAATCCTCTCATTTAAGCATTTTAGTTCTCTTTGCATTTATTTTTTTTCATCTGATCGTTTGCGACCCTTTAACAATTATGACAGGCCTGTTGCAAAGTTTCAACAGTCAGGAATGATTTGGAGAATCTTGTCATCTGATGCTGTTGTTTTATTGGGTCAGCCATCCTTATATCTCTATAAATAGATTCTGCTGTTTGTAGGCTGACTCTGGTATTTCTTACACTTAATCTTAGACTAACTTTATTGTCATTTTGTATACACAGTTTATAAAAAACGAGATTTGTACAGCTGTCTTGACATTTCTATTCCCTAAAGTGCAACAGTGATCAATGTAAAGATTGGGAGAAAAACATGGTGCAAATAAATGCATCGATATGGTCAGTGTGATGCAGAGACTGTGAAATGATTTACAGTTTTTCAACATTCAGCTCATTTCAGTTGGTTTTAGCAATATGAAGATCTTAAAGGGGAAAAAATTATTATGTAGAAATTGTGCTTTTGTGGATCTTGGCTGATAGCTGCTTTCAATGGTGTAACAACACAACAATAGGCCTGTAAGCAACATTATCTGGGTGAGGCCCATATGAAGTACAACATGTGATAAAGGTTCAGGATACGACTACAGTTCCATAAATCGGCCAAGAAGATACGATTATGCAATTCTCATGTAGGATATATTCACACATCACTCACGGAAAAGTAGTGACTGCGCACCTTGAATGAACCATTTATGACAGCGTACTACCACATGTTACAGACATCCCAAGTTTCAAAAACTCATTTCAGGGAAATGCTTAACGTACCCCATACATGCACACTTCATTATTCTTCACCTTCACAAGACATGGATATACTT